CTGCAGTAATCGGCGTTTGGTTGTGGCAAACCTGCTTGCTCACGAGGCTTGCTGGCATCGGAAGCTTTGCAGCAGTCGAAGCTGACACCGCGCTTAGAATCTGCGGCTTAGATGTCCAAGTTCAGACAGGAAGCAAAGTGCGAGGATTGGCGCCCGGTGTCATGGAGACAGACTGCATCACACGTCCTCATCAAAACAATCTGCAACTGCCAGCATCCAGATGCTGGCCGAAGTGAGCCATTCACTCATGCCCAACTGTTCGTCGAGGACTGTGATTTCAGATTTCAGACCCTCCTCGCACGGACTTTCACGCCTAGATCCCGTCCTTGCGCACATGCATCAGCAGAGGCAGCATACTGATGCCCAACTGTAGCACGCCCTCCGCCGCGTCCGATTTGCATAAAAGGCCTGCGACTTGGCCGAACAGCGCAGAGTGTCCGTTCGGTCGCAAGCCCTGCCTTAGGGTTTCATATGTTGGCATCTGGCCAAGGGCTTCATATTGAGTTTGCGTTAAACAGGCAGTACACCTACAAGAGCCACAAGCCTTTTCGATCATCTGGCGCTACTGAAACACGCCGAGTTCTAACAGATTCTAACACTAGTTTACAGCTCGACCATCCCCTCAGGCTGTAGTCGGCGAAGACACTCCCAGTTCCTGGAAAGATCTCACGTGACAACAAGATGCCGGATGCTTATACAGACTCTGACACAGGGCCGCATGTGACGAGCTGTTGGGACCGTGGATTCTGCCCTGAGCTCACACAGGAAGCAAAAGTGGAGGGCTCGACATGGCAGAGATTGGCAACCATCTTTCTACATCCTCGAATGTCTTCCAGCCTCCCCGCCAAAAGACTGCGTGATGTACCTTCATCCACATACATTCCTCCAGTATACACGATACGATATCATCCGACTACACTGTATGTTGCGGCTGAACAGCCGCACTATCAGGCAAAACGGTAAACACTACACTGTGCGCCTTACTACGCGGAGACACAAGATGCGGCCGAGAAAGGCCTATCAGCGCATTGAGGGCTCGCTGGCACAGGGGAGCGCGAACAGGCCGCTGGTGCGTAGGCTGACACCGGCCGAGGGTTTTGCCTGCAATATCGGTATTTTCTTCTACTGCTAGCATGTGCTGACCACTATTGCCACGATGATGTCTGATTGCTGTCATGATTCCGATTGTTGCCTGGCCGCCATTGCTGCACTTCTTGAAGTGTTGTTGTGATGTTTACAGGGGCGTCACTAGCAGCACTACAGCGACAACCTGCCAGTAGCAGGCAGCGGCAGCAGTGCTAGTGGCAGCAGCAGCGGCAGAACAACTACTAGTAGTAGTAGTAGTTGTTGTTGTTGTTGTTGTAGTAGTAGCAGCAGCAGCAGCAGTAGTAGCAGCAGCAGCAGTAGCAGCAGCAGCAGCAGTAGTAGCAAGCAGCAGCAGTCGACGCGGTGGGGGGGATGAGGGTGGGGGCAAGGTGCGGAGGGGCGGGGGGGGGGGGACAAACAAACCTGGAAAACTCAACCCTACACATCCTCAGCGGGCGTAGTTGTAGCAATGACGGAATCCTGCTGTTCTTCGTTCATGATGATGAGAAGGAGGCATGCGTGTTTTTCTGCTTGCAGCAGCCTGCGCGGATCCACGACCCGGGGCTGTTGCGACATCGCGCGGGGGAATGCCAATCGGGCTTCGACTCGGTTCGTCCCCACAGAACCTATCAACGGAAGTTCGCTGTTGCTCAGTAAAGGTAACCAACAGCTTAGGGCATGTCGACCAAGAACACAACACATCATGACACATGTTTCTCACTGTCGCCGAAGCTTTGAACGAAATACCTGCAGACTCAGCCAAGTTTCATAGATTCACCTGTAACCACAGACCACACAAAATGAGGTGCAACAATCAGAATGGTCTTCGGAGCTTATCCCTGCCTGGAAAGGTCCGCAGAAAGCACATATTTAAGGGCTGTCCCAGACATGCACGTGCATGAGTAGATGATATACTCGACCCTGATAGATGTAAAAGAGTTCTTGCCAGAGCTTTGGCAGATGTGCCCTGTGGCTTCTCTAAACAAGATCAGAATAAGTGCACTTGACCTCGTCTCCTGCCTGTGTAGATCCCACGAAAGGCGGATCCAAATCAAGGTTCCACGATTTCGGGCGTAAACGCTCCAGTACAGAGCATCCCAGCCCGATCCCAAAGGCTTCGAAAACACTTGAGATCACTGTCACATGCCTCGATACGAGGGCTTGTCAAACCTGCCAAAGCATGATGCGATTTTGGAACCGTGGGTCCCAACAAACCCCGTCAGGACCCCGGCTGTCACCGCCCCGCCTTAGAGTGACTGCTGCCGATTGGGGGTATGTCATTGAAAAGGAATGATCTCTCCGTCTGGGCCCGATCAAGGAATAGGCGAATATCGGCATTGGGATATAGATATCCAGGTAGATCGCACCAGTACCAGCAAGTGATGATCAATCATTTGACGGCTTCACGCGCAAGTCAGAAGCAAAGCAACAGATCGACACGCAGCCGCCTATGTCAATGCATCTGGAATGTCCCCCCCTTGCTCCTGCAGTTCCATCAGGGCGTCCAGCCCGAACTCCTCCGGGTGGGGTTTACTCAGAGGTGCGCTCAAGACCATCCCAGTGATGCTAAGGCTGCTTCCCACTGGAACTGCTGCGTTGGTGCCATAGGGACCTGGGATGTCGAAAAAGCATCTGCGGGATAAGCCAAAGTATCTGCCGGATCAGACTGTATGTATGTATGTATGTACGTACGTGTGCATGCATACACATTAGTAAAACAGTCATATATATATATATATATTTGTATGTATCCACACATGTACGTATATGTATACATGGATGTATGTATACTTGTGCATATGCTTGTATATCTATGCGTGTATGTGTGTATGTTGATGATATCCGCAACAAGATCATCGAGTTGGAGGCCAAGCTGACCCTCAAACGCGAGCTAGCCATCAGTCAGCTTGAAGTACCTACAATCCATACCATACCTCATCGAGCATGACAACGCGGTCCAAGAGTTCCTAGGGAAGACGCGCACTTGCAAAGAGCAACCAAGAGGGCAGAGACACACGTGCCAACCAGACAAGAACGGAGGAGAATGAAGGAGAGCCGCACATTTATGGTTAGTCTGCCACCCAACTAGGCCCCCGATAAGCCTTCAATAGAGCTTATAATAAGGATCCCTTAGCAGATGACAAGGATTCTGCGATGCCCTGACATGACGACAACTACAAAATAGACCAGAAATAAGCTTGTTTGGGTCTTGTTTTGGGTTGCGTAATGTAAGGATGCTGCCAAGGAGGTAGGGGGCAATTGGTTAGCATTTTCATGGTTGAAAAACATAGCAATTCTCAGATTTAGATTGTTAGTCTCTGGTGTCCCATTTTCAATACCACAACAGAAAAGCACTGAGCTTCATCAATGCAGTGTCAGCTTTACAATTAATCCAGAAGCTTGCCCAAGAACACAACCTAGAATGACTGTGTAGAATTACATAGGTGGGAAGGAAAAAAAGTAATCTCAACAAGTGAAAAGTTTGCGCTTTGCTTACCTTCTCCTCATTAAATTCAGCTTCTTACACCACTAGTAGGTCATTAGAAAGCCGACGTATATTCGTAAAACAAACTAGCAAAACGCAAGGGCCGGTTTCCGACCTCTAACCGTATGTACGTATCTACCTATCTAGCTATCTATATACCTATCAATCAATCAATCTATCTATCTACCTATCTCACATATGTATATATATATATAGTTAAATATAGAGGTGTGCGTGCATATGGTTACGTAGACTGTCTGCCATTATTGGACTCAGCCCCCCAAACCTTGCGCCATCCGACCCTTAATAATCCAATGCCCAGCTTTCACTTGGTAGCCAATATCCCCAGTTTTGAGTTTGCTCAGTCGATCGATTCGATCCAGACCAGTCGAAACCACAACTTGCCATTTCAATAAAGATCAGGGGCTGCAATATCGACCCGAGATAGTAGGAGCCTTGTTACATGGATTCCTAAGAAGGGCCCCCAATGCTCTAAATCCCTGAAAGGAGGTTTGCCAAGTTGCAGGTCTGCTCGTGAGCGCTGGCTTCCTGGCAAGACTGGGCTTCTGGTTTCGACTTTCATATATTCGCACAAGGCAAGGCACGCATTCAATTTGCGTCGGTGCAACACCTTCGCCTCATAAGCACATGTGCCCTGAAAAGTGAACCACCAAGCATACAACAACATGATCGCCGACATCTAAGTAGTCATGTTAACGCCGAAGACAAAGGTGACCAAGAGACCAACACTCACATCCACTGCCCCATTCTTGCCAGCACGCGCTACTGCCTCAAAATAGCTAGAGTCAATGATCAGTACAGAGGCCAAAGGGCCGGATGTGTGTATCCAAACAACACTTAACTATATCCCAAAACGCAGAACAATCAGTATAGACCAAAGATCACCCCAGACTCAACCCCTACAACCGCTGCGTTCGGGCACGTCAACCAACCTCAATCCATAATAAGCCCAACCCAAACCGGCTACGAGAGTTATATGCTATACTCCCTCGGACCTGAAGTCGTCAAGCCATCTAGGCTCAGCACAACTCTGCAAGGAAAGGCGTCACGTCGTCGTTCCAAACTAATTCACGAACTCAGTTGCAACTGCTGACTCCGGGATAATCCGTAATTAGCTCCCTGAAAATTGTGGCGACTCGATGTCCTGAGCAATGAACTCAGAACCGCGACGCATGTATCTCCACCGAACCCCGAAGGCCTCAAAGCTGGCATATTGCGACCCGCAGAAGTTGCAAGCGAAGCAAATTACCTGCAACGCCACAGCACTCTCTTAAAATCGCATCAACAGGGCAAGTGGTGAAAGAGTGTCGTTTTGTTTCGTCCTAGAGGCCAGTCCCGCATCTTCTGGGGAATATTCTGAGGTGCCAGCATGGCGGCATTCTTCAAAGGTCTTTACCACACCGCGGGCCTTCGCTTCTCTCCAGCCATACATCTGCAGCTGCACCCTGCAAATTGTTCATCCACGGGCCGGAAAACAGAACTAGTTCTGCTCCACACTGCAGAAACCCGTCAACTGCTATCCTCTAGACTGTAGACATCTGTAGACTGTAAACTGCATGCCTCTCACCAACGTCCGAGCATGCGACAAGAAGCAAACCGTCTGGGCGGCCCCAGTCTCAGTCCACAGTTCCGCATGGGTTTATGCTAGAAGAGGCTTGTGCAAGGAACCCAACATGTGCTGATGCTGTCCCAAAAAGGTTCCACATCACTGCAAACGTCCTGGATGAAGCGGCATGACCCTGAATCCGCAGGAGCGGAGGAGAAACAAATGCGGTCGAGCTTTGAGCGCAGCGCAATGGCGACGAAGAGGCCCAAGAGGCTCACCCTAGGCAGGAGAGCTACTCGCACCACCACGATGTACACGAACAAAGCGTTCTGTTGCTCCTACTCTTACATCTACTCTTTATAGTAAAATTCCTACTCACTCGCAGCACCGCGATGGCTATGATCACAAATGCCATAGTAGAAGCGGTTGCTGCTGCGCTGACCCACGCCCCGTACAGACTTACCATGTTCCATCTCCCGTCTTGATGCCTCAAGGCCAGGAGACCGGCTTGGCAATCTGATTCGCGCACAGTCGCGCTCAGCTAATGAGAGCCGGGGCCCTGGCCACCTAGGTGCGTCCATGACGTAGCGGCCGCCAACCTCTGCTTCCAGCACTTGCAGAAAACTAGAATGGCACGAACCTGGCACACACTTTCGGTCGAAAACTCAGAACCTAGATGATCGTCCAGTACATACTTGCTCAAATGTGGCAACTTCGTTGGCACCATACATGTCCCTGCTTCCAGTGAGGGTCCTTCCATTTAGCAATTACAGCTTCGGTCGGGGCGCCGCCACCAATGCCCCGAGGCTCATGGCAACCAGCGAGAGGAGAAAGTGCTGCCTGCACTGCATGCCCTGCCTGAGACTAGCACTGAAATGTGTGACAGAATGTAAAGTACAATTATCATCGCACCGGTTCTTACTTGGTGCTCACGCTGGTAGTGGTAATGAGGATGAACAGAATTCCGGTATGCTGGCTTTCGTGTGTTTGCATGACTGTGACTACTCTGTGTATCATGTTGCCTTATAACCACCTTCCTCAATGTCTGATCATGACTGCGTTCTGGTCTGCGCCGTCCGTGTCACGGCTCCTACGGCCTGCACCTTCTCATTGTTGCCGGTCGAAATCCGCCTACAGTATCTCCCGCCATGCGCGGCCGTGACTAAAACCTCCGCCCCTCCGCGCCTCTCCCTGCAACTGCAGGAACGAAGCAAACACTTCGCTGAATTCAACATGTATAAACCGAAGCAGCAACATCTGACCACAGATGTGCGCACAACATTGATGTTTAAAGGTACAGTACGAATGACAACCAAAGAAATTGTCATGCCGGCGCGCCAGGCCTCCTCACAGCTCCGCAGACCTCCCGACAAGGAAGTTTTCCACTGCTATTGGCTATTGGTGTCATATGTATGTCGGAAACGGCCTAGTTTTGCCCGGCACGTTTCTTGCAAATGTACGCGTAGTAAGGGCTTCTCGTGAATACACACCGCATAACGGCTACAGTAAGGCAGTGCAGCGAGCCCCTTCGGTGCAATCGAGCTTAACGTCGCTCCACCTCCTGTGCATACGTCAAAGCCACAGTAGAGTGCACGGATCTTAGCATGGGTGTTCATTCTCATTGGCCAAACTGCCCACTGTCACCTACGAGAATTGCAGGCAAGCAACGATCAACATGGCTCTGCAGGGAAAGAAATGGCATGCAAAGGAGCAGAGCTACGAGCAACAACCTTCAACTGTCGACTTCGCTCTGTGTTTCGGGAGGGCAATAGCTTCAGTGCTTGATGTGATCTCTGCAGCTCTGACTGCAACGGAAGCTAGGTGGCCGAAACAGAAGCTTTGATCTTCTAGCGGATTCTAGCGTGTGACTTTATCTTCGCAGTCTGCAGAAGGAGCCGGGCAGCGCACCACAGGACATGAGACCACTCCAGAATGCTCGCATGCTCACATGTTCTGAGCCGGGTCTCCTGCAGGCTCTGGCATTTGGACCTGCCTATTGATCGAGGGGATTATAGAGTTTGCCAGTAACCTGAGAACACTTCGAAAAATCATGCCAGTTTGATCAGGTCGTGGCAACAGGCCGCGAGACAAGGCTGAGATTTCCTGCAATATACAAGTTTGTCTGTTTTTACACCTCGCATGTCACCATGAGCGGCTTCGTAGCATTGCCGCAAGAGTTGTTGAGTGGATCACAGATTTGGGCTTCAAACCTGTGATAGAGAAGGACGCGCTGCCAGTAAAGGGTGTCAGTCAGTGCAGAAGCCCTGCTATTCCCACAGATCAATTCGCTTCTGTCTGGGAGTCCGAGGATGACCTCATAAAACCTTACAGCTCGCGCCATCTTCCCAAAACTCGCAGCTCAAACCACATGCTCCTTAAAGAGACCCGCGGCTTTGCCTGGCTTGCCTTGAGGGTTACCCATAAGCGGTCAGGCTACCACCAAAACTTGTTGCACGAGATCACCTTTGGTGATGGTGCAAAATAACGGAACAGAATAGCTGCCACGAGCGCCGTGACACAAGTTCAATGTCCACCTCGCCAGCACAAAGAAAATTCACGGTCGCATCCCAAGCAAGGCACAAAATCAAAGCGAAGCCAAAGCTAGAAGCGCAAAGCATGCAGTCACAGCCCTCGTGCATGCCAGCAGCCCGCAAGTTGGATGGATCTCTGACAATCCAAATGCCATGTGTCATGTCTTCTACAATTTGAGTCGGAGTAGGCATGCGAGCCCTGCGCCTGGTGGACGGGCCCTCTCCTTGGCACGAGCCTGAGAGAGTGTTTCGAGGCTGCTTGATGGGATTGTCTGCAACGGAACTACATCTTATGCGGTCAGATCACTTAGGCACTCCTGTTAGACATACTGGTTGCACAGCACTGCGATACCGGCGCACTTGAAAATGTCTGCAAATTGCCCTGGTGCTATACGCCACCCCTGAACTTGCTGTTGTATGTCTCGTCTCGGCACCCTCCGAAGGGATACTTGATCTTGGTCGCTGACTCGGCTTGGCCTTATCTCTGCGGCCGCTGGAGGAGCCTCCTGAAGAGCCCAGCCAGGTGGAGAAGCAGAAGCTGTTCAGCACATTTCAGTTCATTGGTTGTCTGCGCCACAATGCCATGCTGCTTGGCACGCTCAGGAAAGCTACGTCTCGCATCATGCGTCAAACATTTCTGCTGACCAAGATCATCCCTTGCAGTGCTTCTTTCTGCTTATCGGAAAGATGGGATGCGAATTCACATTTAGCGTAAGTTGGCTGTCTTCAGCAATGCATGGACCACTGAGAGCACAGGCGATATCCGTAAATTGACTCAACGGTTACCATGTTACAACTTGTCCAGGTCCATGGCATCCACATCAAAGCGAGCACGTGCTGTAGGACGATTAAACTTCCGCAAGAAGCACATATTCTATGTTCCGTCTTTAGCATGGTGCGCCTCGAAAGGTCTCCCCAACATGGCCTCGAACATGATCTTGGAAAAAGGCATCTAAACTCTAAACTTGAAGCTGTTCCGCTGATGTCTCATCCTGGCTCAGGTCCGATCACAGTCTGAACCCTCAAACTTGCAGGCAACCCCCCCTCTCCCACCCCCTGCCCCGCAGTGAAGGGACCTTGAGGCGCCAAGTCTTGGTCGTGTCGTCCAAACCTGATTTCTGATCGGGGGGGAGTTATATGAAGGCTTCACGACCGCCTTTAACAGTTCAACGCTCAGAACCCACATGCTGCGGAGCGTGCAGTTGCAGAAAGATTCGAAGGTCCAGCTCTCAAATCTTGGAGCTGCTGGTTCCGATTGAAGATTTCGGCGCGGAGGGACATCCGTTGAATGTATCGAGATGTGCACGCTTGCAGGCATGCTTCCTATGTGTATTGGAATGTAAGGCCACCTTCGTTCTGGCTCTGAGATGTCAGTGGCCGTCTGTGAGCTGCATGATGGTGTGCATGCATACTCGTGCTCCCACCAAAAGCAACTGAGTAACTGGGAAGGCCAATGCAACATCAATCATGCCCGGTGGTCGCATCTGCTGCCGGGAAGGAGCTCAGCACTAGCAGCAGCAACCACAACCAAGAAAACAAAGAAAACAAACCATTCATCTCCGCAGTAGCCATACCAGCCTGGAGCCTTCAACCCGGTCTGTGCCCACTCAACTTGTCTCTACGACAGATGTATGAATGGAAATAGCTCGGCCAGCCCTCCAAGAGTGATGCCGTGAAGAGGAGGAGGGGGAGTCTTACAAAAAGATGATCAAGAGTTGGCAGTTTCCGGCCTTGGGCCTTGGCCTCTGGCCACTCCAGAAAAACATGCCCTTGCTTGCAGCTCCGAGCGCGCGCGGGCTGGCCCAGCACAGTAGATCCAGTCACGGAGGTCTCCGACGCACGAAAGCCATGGGGGCACATCCTCGGCTGGAAGCTGAGTTTAAAAAATGTTCAAGAAATGTCGGCAATACGCAAGCCCTCCAATTTCGCTGCAATCACAGAAGACGTTCGAGCCAGTGAGCAGTTAATTCCGGCAACAGAATGGCGTCGCAACAAAACATTCCCAAATCGAATCTGCTTTCGTCTGGTCAACAGGAGCTTTGCCTGTGCTGGCATCACTGCACAGGAGTCACTGGCAGAGGTCGGCTGCCACGAAGAATTCCCAAGAGCAGGATCTACATGGCTGTAAAAGTGCTAAATATTCCAGGAGTCAGCTCGCAGAACTCTGCCATATCGATCTCGCCGTTGCCATCGGTGTCAGCCACGTCTGTGCATTCCAGGATTGGGCAAAAGAAAGTGCGTGATCCTAGCCTTGGACCTATCTGAAGTGCGACCTGGCAGAAATGCTGAAGGCAGTGTGGACATGATCGTCCAGCTCCAACAGGGCAAGAAATGAAAAGCCGATAGATGCGCTGCAGCTCTACAGAGACGCTACACTGCCGCTACACTCCAAGACTGGGCCATGTCAAGCAGCTGATGAACTCCTTGGCATAGTCTTTGTCCTCAGCAGCAGGTCGGAACTCGCCACCGAGAACTGCGCAGCTGCCCAACAAACTCCCAAAGGTTTCGCAAGCGAAAGACAAAACCTGAAATGCATCGAAGACACTATGAGGCCAGACAGAATAAGCTCATTCGCAGATACGCTTCCTCCGCGGTCTTTGTCGAAGTAATTGAACACTGCCTCATCGAAACAGCACGCCACAAATTGTCAAGCATGCAAAGGCCATGCACCACGATGTTGCCACGACATCTCTGCAACTTGCAGGAATCTGTCCGCCTTCTGCCCTGCCACTACTACTACTACTACTACTACTACTACTACTTGCTACTACTGCTGCTGCAACTGTTACTGCTACTACCACGGCTTTTACCACCGCAGACAAACACAAGACAAAGCTAAAGCACATGCATGCCGACCATGTCAGTTTGCAGTCGCCAGTTCGTTCAATGACTCGTCACACAGTAGTACCCGGTGGGATCACAGGCTGCGGCCTGCAGGGCAGCTTTCTCTTCGGAGGGCAGAACTGGTGGGGGGCTCACCCGCCACTTGTCGCCTCGGTAGAATGCGGCTGCAGGGACTGTCCCTACTTAGATTGTGACTCAAGCTATGACAGCTGCAGCTCGTCGGAATTGGGACGTTGTCAGCTGTGCCGGCCCAGTGCGGGCTTTCGACATCTTTCGACACAACAAAGGTGAGCCGGGGAAATCGGAGGAGAACCTTCCATTCTCGCCCACGGGACATGCCCTTGGCTACTGGCTTCCGTGGCTTTCACGTTTGCTGATGCTCGTTGGTTACATGATGTTCCTTCCACAAGCTGCTGACTTCTCCTGTGGTCCCATACCTTCAGCCCGCTAAATCTGGCCGATTAAAGTCCAAAACTGAAGCACATCATGCCCAGCAACGTGTGCGGTTGATCTCGTCGCACCAGCTCCTCATTTGTCTCAAGTCCTCCTCTGAAGAGCAAGACCAGATCAACCGCATGATGTCCTGCGACAGCACAGCTGATGTCCAGTTTCGGGCTTCACAGGAGCGCAGGTCTGCTGATAAACATGGCCCATCAGTAGCAGCTTCAGCCAATTCAGTGCAATGCACCATTGGCTGTAATTAAATCAAACGAAACAGCGAATCGTTCATTTCTGGCCACCCATCCTCGATGCAGAAACTTTGCTTGCGGGCATTCGTCAGTACCTGGAGCCACAGGGGAAGTCTCTCGTGACAAACAGGGGCGAGGACTTCCAGTGGGCACTGGACTCACACAGGGCCGTGTCGCATGTCATCTTGAAGGTATGCAGAGTTCACTCCGACAGGAAGACTGCGCGCCCCGGTTTGGCTTCAGTTGTGAATATTCGCAACTTACAGTTTATTATGTAGTTTTCTTTGTCGGCTCAATTCCGCCCTGCTACAGATGGAAAACCACTACGGGGGTTAAACCTACTGGACCTGGCTGGAAGACTGTAGGGAGCGTACAGTTCAAGCAGTACGGGAGCCTTCCTAAGAGTGTCCTAGTCTTCCCGCTTGAAAACTTCAGGATTCTGGGTCGGACTGCGGTAGATAAGGTTCGGCTCCCACCCGCCACAGCGCATCGATGTCTCTACGTCGGACGACTCCACCCCTGTTCTCCCTTCTGCAGCGCACGGAGGCGAGGCGGTCGCAGAAGCGTTGCACAAACCGAGGACGCTCCTGGCAAGGGTCGGTAGAAACATTGCTGTCTGACTGTCTGGCATCACGCAGGGCTTTCGGCTTTCGCATGCTCGGATGCTGAGTTTCCGCACCACCTGCGCATAAACCTCCGACAGGATCAGGCACACATCCCGACGACACTTCTGATACAAACAAAGACTCAACCTGCCAATCAGTTGCAAACCTTGGCCAGGTGCAGTTTCAAACATCATGCCCGAACCTGTTGACACAGATCTTGGACCCGTAGGACCCCGTAGGACCCGTATAAGGCTCCTCCTGTGGAGTGTTGGCGATCCAAGCAGGGAGTCTGCTTACGCCGCCTCACGGCAAGTAGAAATAAGATACAGTTGCAGCTCTGCTTGGGGCATCCCCGCGACAGGAAAGCGGCTATGGTAGCCAGCAGCCTCTGCTTGACATACCAGATGATTCCGGCACAGCACGCGGAAACGACAACTAACCCCACCAACCTTGTCTCCTAAGCTCCTCATGCAAGATTCACCCATGCGGTTGAGCTTCGTCGAACATCTGAGGTTTCCGTTGAAGCTGGCATACTAGGATGCTCGGCTGCAGCATGGACCACAAGTGGCCCTCCCTTCCCGTAACATGCAACGAGCCCGCTTCTGTAAGGATCCAACAAGGGCCATATCTTGGACCATGACTACTCACTCACGGTTGCAGGACCACTCGTGGTCTGTGTCCCTTTCGAGGCGTCTTTTAAATGGAATGGAGGCATATATACACATCTGTAAGCATGCTTGCACCTACGTGTTACCAACGTACTTACGTACGTACGCAGGTAGGTAGGTAGGTAGGTAGGTAGGTAGGTAGGTAAGTAGGTATGTATGTATGTATGTATGTATGTAAGTATGTATGTATATCTGTATGTCTGTTTATCTGTATACCTGTAGA